TGCACTCTGTGTCCACCACCATTGTGGCAGCGGGCCGGGTACTTTAACAATGTCGCCCTCGTTCGGCTTCTCCATCCATTTGTCCAGAGTGGACTTGTTAGAAAAGATGTACGGGTAGTATTACACGGTATGTGTGTCGAAACGTATCCGACGCCGTGGTTTGGTAGATGTTGTCTTGGCCTTGTTGGCGGCCATAAGAATCTTGTCACGTGTGACGCAACTGCGGTCGGAGTGGCGAGGGCGGCGATAGTTGGCAGGAGAACGTGCCCTGAACCTGGGAGAGCCACGGGACGAGCCGCGGCTCGTGGAACGTCGGTCACGTCCTCTGTCGCTGCCGTATGATCTATCGCGGCCACGTGGGCTGCCACGTCCTCCGCCACGGCTGTCTCGTCCTCGAGAGGAAGGTCGCGAAGATCTGTCGTAACGACTTCTCGACTGGCTGCGAGAGTCTCGAGACCTCCTGGAGGATGATCGAGAGCGGTCGTAGTGGCGTCGGTTGTCACGTCTTTGGTGTGAGTCTTTTGCGTCGCGGAACCCCCCGCGTTGTGGAGAGCGTTGGCTCCCCGATCCGCGGGACGGCGGTCGGCCACGACTGTCCTGACAGGAGGTCCGTGGGCGACTTGGGCTTCGCTCAGGTGTCTTCGCACCAGGTGCCAGGTGAGCGTGTTTGCATTTGTCGCCCTTGGGGCAGTTGTTATGTGCGAAGTCTCTGCATTGCGCCATGTGTGGGAAGTTGCACTTGTCACCTCTGGCGCAGGTGTTGCGCTTGGCGAACTCGAAGCAAAAGGGCTTCGATGCTGGCTTCTTGGGATCCGCAGGGGCTGTAACGCTGCGGCGAGAGTTGCCACCAGCGGTCGATGCTCTGGAAGATCTGCTGCTCTTCCAATCCCTGGAAAAGGTATGTAAAGCCTTGCATCTCTCACCATTGCGACAGTTGCCTTTCTTCCAGGCGGCGCATACATGTACTTGAGAACGAGTCTCGCGTTCGTACCGTAACGTATTTTGATTATTCTCGAGTTGTTTGAGCTCCAGTACGTCCAGGACGCGCTGTCGGAGCCAGTCATAGGTACGATGCGGGTCGCTGACCTTCATGCGCTGGTATTCGTACATATCCTGTTTCATCCAGGCACGTCGGCGAATCTGTGTGCGAAACAGAGATTCCAAGATCTTTGGGTCGGGTGCCTCTCGGCACTCCAACAGTAAAGCGTCCCAAACAGCAATGAAACGTTGCAAATCTTCATCTCTCATCTTCAGTCCTTTGAGGCGCTCGAAATCGTGTAGGTCGTCATCAACCTCTGTCACTTTGTAGGACTGTAGGATGTGCAAGTAGATCTGGCGTCCATTGAGCATGCGTCCTGCTTTGTGCTCTCTGGTTTCGATGAGCCTGATCTGGTAGCGCAAGTCTAGAGATAAGATGTCGCTGAGAGCAGTAGCGAGTTTGCAATCGATGCTCTCGAAGTCTCCACTGTCTTGCAAGTCCTCGAAGGTACATTCAGGCTGTTCAGCCACGCATAGGAAGGCATATGATTTGGATGGTCGCCCGGAGGAAGCTCCAAAATTATTCCGTTCCTTTTGCTGCAACTCAAGCAGCTGCGTGATCTTAGGCAAGACAGGAACCCGGACGGTGTCTGACTCCTTGATCGGAGTAGTAGTATTGACCGAAACCGAAGACAATGGTTGTGAGGGTATCGGTACACCGTCGGTACTTGGTTCTGTGCGCACCGGAGACACGTGGCGTGTCTGTGCTGAAGCTGCCGCGGAGGCTGCTCCTGGTGACGTACGTCGTTGTTGTCCTGCAGAAGCGTGTGGTGCTTCGGCGGACGCTGCCGTCGGCCTGTGCAGGTCGGTTGCAGGTTGAGGGTGAAGTATGGTGTCGTTGGTGTGGTCAATCAGCTGATCTGTCCAGCTAGTCATATCCTCGTGCATCTGGTCTACCTTTTGCCGTGTGTACTCGTCAGTATCCCGAGAGCGTTGCAAATACCGGTCAAGTCGTTGCTCGTAAGCTCGGAGACGGGCGTTGTGCGCCTCCAACTCACTGTCCAGACGTGCGAGGTGCTCCTCAACACGTACATTCTCAGTATCTCTCTCACGAATGACCTGGGAGAGCTCAAACTGCGTGTGGTCCGCCGCCTTCTCAACCTCCTGCAACCTGTCAGTGAGGCGGGCGAAATCGTAAACCGTGGGAGGAGAATCCAGCTGATCAGTCTGGGCTCGTCCGACACGCAACTCTGCCAGGGCGTCCTGTACGACAGGAAAACGCTGCTCGATTTCAGAGATCCGGTTAGCGAGTGGCTGCACGACAGCGTTGGTCGCATCATGCCTGTGAGTGATAACTCTCTTAGTATTTTGCAACATGCCAAACAGGTTCGACGAGTTGGTGTGTGCTTCGGTGCGAAGCGTTGCCGTAGTGTGGTCCATGTGGGATCGAAGATCGTTGATCTGAGACTGAACGTCGCCAAGGTCGGTGGCCTCGGCTGGTGGTGGTCGGTTGCGGAGCTGGTCGTGGATCTCATCGTGGAAAATCCTGACTGCTGAAACGCCTGTGTCGCGTACGATCACAAGCTGTTGCTCCATCTGCGCGAGGTAGTTGCGCAGGTTCTCGACCGTCGCCGATCGCTCACCTGAGTGTGACATCTCACGGTCAACCTGGTACTGCAGCTCACCTAAGATGCGGCGATCTTCGGCGATCCTGGAATCGATGATCCCTAAGGCGCCGTCACGATCTTGGCGTAGAGCAGCAGTGTTGGCAGCGTTCGTCTGAACGCTCTGCATCAGTCCAGAGTACTGTCTGGACACGAAGGTTTCAACCTGGTCTCTGAGCTCAGCTATCTCGCCTGCAGCGGACGTTGCCGCCGGCAGGTCGTCTGAGATGGAAAGGTGGGGAGCGTCAGCTTCCCTCTGCACCCTCTCGCGAGGAGTGCATGGCCTCTGCGAGGCAGCACGCGGGCTCGACCTCCTCTCGTCGTATGGGCCGTTACGAGGGCTCCGTAGCCATTTTGGCTCAAGCCGTTACCAGGGCCCCCCGGCCTCGCCGTGCATAGCCCCGCCGGAGGCCGCCCGCGCAGGGGCGGAGGCATGTTCGCCGGGGGCGGCGACGCCCCCCTGACACCGCTACGTGACTTAGTGAACCGCTGGATCGGCGTCGAAACCAAGGGCCTGGAGAGGGGAGCGGCGTTTCGCGACGTGCTCGCCTTGCTTGCTTGTGCCCCCGAGCCGCCACCGCAGCTTCGCACGCAGGGGAGTCGCGAGGCTGCGCCTCTGATCGCTCTTGGCCGGCAGCTGCGAGCTTTCCTCGAGCTCGCCCCCCCATTGCGTCCTGCGCGCGGGGACCCACCGCCCGTGATCTCGCCGTTCGCGGGCCCAGTGCTGGCTGCCGACGCCGCCGGAGCTGCGGGCCCGCCGTTGGAGTTGTCAAGCCAGCAGCCCTTGCGCATGGCCGTTTTAAACCCGGGCTGGTGTGGCTTGCTCGCCCTCGGCACAGACGCGCTCTTAGATTGGCGGTTGCAGGCGATGGCGCAGCTTCTGCACGATGAGAATATCGATATTTGCATCACCCCCAGCGCGCGATTCACGCCGGGTGCGGCGCTGCCGGCAGGGTACCCGTACTGTTGGCTGGGCGAACGCTCTGCTTCGTGGGGCGCTGTCGGGATTTTCTTGCGACCCGAACTGCTTCCGGTAGTCCGCCCGCTGCCTGACGTCTCGTGAAGTTTGGACCTCGCCGAGCGGCACTACTGCCGCGTCGGGGCCGTTTCTTGTCTTTGCCTCCGTTTACCCAGCGCCAGGCGGCGACGTGGAAACCTGGGGCGCGATCCTTGGTGAGCTCACTCGATTGCGCTCGCGCTTTCCGCATGCCTCGTTCCTCGTCGCTGGGGATGCAAATATCCATCTGTCCTGCGTCCTTTCGCACCGCCCGGGGTGCGGCTGCTGCCATTGTCACGAATCCCCGGAAGATCGCGATATCGAGGCGATGCTGTGCGCTGCCTCGCTCATCGCGTGCAACCCGCCGGTGCCCACGCACGATTCTGGCACGTGCATTGACCTTGTCCTCGCGGACTTGGGCCAACAGATCTCCATTGCCGTCAAGGAGGCCGTGGCCGCGGCCTCTGACCACCGCCTGCTGCGCTGGCCAATGCCGCGCCAGTGCGACCGCTCCGCGCACGTAGGTTTTGGCCGAGTCAGCTGGCGCACTGATTCCGAATGGGATGACGCCCTTAGCGCGGTGGAACCGCTTCTCCAATTTGCAGCGTCTGCGGTTGAGCTGTGCGTGCATGCGCCGTGGCTCCGCCCTCCGTGGAGCGGAGGCCAGGCCTCTGTCGCCCAGCGCCGCGTTCTCCTGGACGTGGCCGCGTGGTCACGTGACGTGCTATACACTTTTGCGGGCCACGCTGCGGGGTTCACCCGTGCGGTGACGTCGGCGGCGTCTCGCAAGCGACGCCGGCCCGTTGGGCCGGCCCCGGCGGATTTCTCTGATCACCAGGCCTTTAAGAAAGCGGCCACGCAGGAAGCCTGGGATGCTAGGAGGGGCGCGGCCCAACGTATTCTCCACCTTCGGGCTTTGATCCCTGGGGCAGCGGAGCGCTTCCTATCCTCTTTCTTCGCCGGCCAAGACAGGTTTGAGATCGCACTCGCCGACCCTGCCACGGGACGGGTTTTTTTAGTGCCGACGAGATGCTCCAAGCCATCGAGCAGCATCTGCAGGCGAGGGCCTCCAACAACTTTCCACATGACCGTGAGGCATGCCTCGCCACCGCACGGGCGGTGTCCGCCGTTCGCCAGAGCGGCGCGGCTCGTGCTGGCGCCGGTCTCTCCACCAGGCGCCGGCGCCTTTACTCCATGGCTGAGCTTGCGGACGTTTTAGAAACATTTAAAGTGGCATCCAGCGCGCTACGTGGCTGTTACGCCTCCGTCAAGTCACCATGCGTGCAGGGCCGACGCCTCACGCTAGCGTTGGCGAATCTCTCTAGGTCCTGTAGTCTCACCAGCACATGCTGGTCCGCGAGGCAATTGACACCGCTTCACAAGTCGGGCCCCCGCGTGGTGCGTGATGCCGCGTGCCTCCGGCCCATCTCGATCTCCACTGTCATGTCTGCGGTTGTGGACGCCCTCTGGACACAGCGCAACCGCTCTGCGCTCACGCAATATTGCGGCGCTGGCCAGCAGGGCGGGGTCGGGGACCCCTTGCTTGTGTTGTTAGCGCTGCTGCTCCACGCGCAGCTCCGCGGCGCTCAAGGGCCCCCCACGTACTGGGCGCTTACTGACCTTCGCTGGGCCTTTGATGTGGCCTCGCATGATGCCATGCGCCTGTCGTCGTATCTTGCTGGCGTGGTGAAGGACGAGTGGCTCTTGTTGGATGATTTCATCCAGATGGACATCCAGTTTGTAGCCCTCCAGGGGCTGGCGTCTGAGTTTTTTTCGGCTGCCCTGCGGCACCGCCCAAGGTAAGCGTTCCTCGGCGTATGTGTTTAATGCCGAGGTGAAGTGGCTAGCTGATGCTGTAATGGCTGTCCTGCCGCAGGGTTGTGCAACCTGGGTTCCGCCGGTCTACCGGCGCGCTTGTCCAGTTGGCGTGGACCCCCCCCCTCCCTTTCCACTCTGCCCCCCTTCACCCCCCTCCGTCGACGCGGCCGCGGCGATCGCGACTAGCGTCTCCGCAACGGCACTGGGCGAGGGCGCGCCGTGGGCTCGAGCCGCGGCGGAACTGGCCGAGTGGGCGTGCGGAGGGGCCACTGAAGCCGATCGTGCCGCAGCCCAGGACGCGCTGGGTGCGGAGCACTTGCAGCCACTGCAGTTCTCTGACGATCTGACTGTCCTTTGCCCGCCCCCAGGCGCCCTCCGCGCCGTTGTATCTGCCGAGCCAGATTCTGCGTGTAGCCTGTTTGCCCGCGCTGTCCGTGCCGACTTTAATTACGCCTCTGGTAAAACAGCGGCCATGGCCGTGGCTGGTAGCCCCGACCCCGGGTGGGTGGGCTGCCCCGTCGTGGATCAGAAGCTGGTGCTTGGCGTTCTCGTTGACGCCGAACTCACCTTTCAACCCCTCCTCCGCTTTGTTTTGGCCCGCGGCCACGCGTTGTTTGAAGCGCTTTTCCACGCTGGGGAGAGCGGCGGATTCGGCCTCCCCGTCCTTTCTGCGCAGGTCCCTCTCCGGGTCGAGAGCGCTATCTTATACCCTTCTCCTTTTCTGCTCTTGGCTCATCGGGCTGAGTATGAGTTGAATCGCATGCAGGCCGCGTGGGCTAGGAGGCTCCTGGCGTGTGCCACTGGCCCCCCTGTGCCAGGCGAGGTGGTCGTTGCGCAATGCGGCTGGACGTGCCGGTTGGGCACGCGGATGCTCGAGCGAGCAATCATGGCGCGCGCCCGTGTTTTGGCGCAGCCTCCCGACCACCCCGGCACCCGCATGCTCGCGCTGGCGCGCCGCCCCACGCGCGCCTCCTGGGCGAGCGCCGTCGCCGCCCGCATGGCGGAGCTCACGCCACCTGTCCTGGACATCGATGTCCACCCAGCTTTCCACCACCCTCTGCGTGGCGCCAAGGGCTCTCTGCAATTGCGTAGGTCTCTGCTGCGTGACTTCAAACTCCAGGTGGTTCGCCCGGCCCTGCGGGCGCGCGATCGGGCCGCGTTCCAACGCGCGACGGGCGCCTGTTTGCCCACGCTCGGGATGTCCTTTGCTGTGCTCGTCCCCGAGCCCAACCAGCTACCGATGGCCCTACTTCAGTTGGATTTTGGGCCACATATGTGGCGCGACTGTCGCACGTGGTCCGTTGCGCGTATGTCCGGGGCATGGCCCCTCCCAGTCCTTGGCGTGCTGTGTCTCCCCGTCACACTGGACCGCTGTGCTGCTTGCGGAGCTGCGCAGGTGGACATTGCCCATGCTATTTGTGGCTGCCCCAGGCAGGCCGCGCAGCGTGCCGATTTGGAGTCTCGCGCCCTGCTCCCGCCGCTATCTCACGCGGCCATGTACATGTACCAGCTCTTCCGCGAGGGGCCGCCGCCTGAAGAGAGGTGGCACCACGTTCTCTACGTGGCGCGCGCCTTGCACGACTCGATAGGCTCGCGCCCGTTCGAAATTCCTCCCCGACCTGGTGGGGGGCCTGCGGCCCAGCCCCCCAGGGGGACTTAAGCAATTTCACCGCCGCTTGTGGCGCTGGATCCGGTTGGGATCTGACTGCGATTGGCCATTGTTCTTTTAAGGGCTGGGCGAGGCTGCCGCGCCAAGGGGCCCAGTGCAGCCGCGTAGCTCTGTGCGTCTGTGGCGGCGGTCTTCCCCCAAGCCATCTGGCTGCCCAATGCCTGGTGCCTCGTCCCCCCCTTTTTCTTTTCCTCTTTCGACCGCTCGCGCGGCCTCCTGGCTGCTGTCCGTCCCCGTGCCGCGAGCGGCCGGGGAGGGGGAGGAGCGAACTCTGCCCCCCCTTGCACCTCGCCGCCCGCTGCGCCGCCCCTCCCCTTTTGCCCTCCGAGGTGCCGGTCGGGGAGAGGTCGCAATGGCCGCGAGGCCAGGGCGCC